CAATCATACCCTAACTCAAATATAGAACAGAAATATATTTACAAAACACAAAACATCAGAGACTCAAAACACCAGTTGCTAGAAGCTCAAAACACTGGAGCAGTCACTTAAGACTAAAGATCTAGACAGATCAATCTCAGCACATCCTAAATTGAATATAGGAAAGCCTATGATTCAATGCCATGCACATGAATCTGTGAATGCCTGGTACTATGCAGAGTTAACAGGGCATTAAGAACCTTCTTCAAGAACTCAATAGGACTGTAGAAGACAATACTGGAAGTCAACTCAAGACAGCTCACACAAGTGGCATATAAAATGTGGCATATATCAACTGATTCACAATGACTGGATCTGTATACAAACTCAGTGGCAGAACTGCCATCAGTCCCCTTCTCTACATGGATGACATTAAGTTGTATACTAAGAGTGAACGAGACTTCAAATTGCTGATACACCTGACATGGATCTACAGTAAGGACATTGAGATTATATTTGGACTGGACGGTAGTCAAGAGAGGGAAAGACATTAAAATTGAAGGAGTGGAACCACCAGTGGGCCATACAGCAGATACACAGACCAGTTACAAGTATTTTGGTATTACATAGTCTCATGAGAACCATGAGGAGGAGGCAAGTAAAGAGCAACATCCAAGTACCACCAAAGGGTAATGCAGGCTTTGAAGAGCCAGCTGAAGGGGAAAAACAAGATCCACACCATCAACATATTTCTGAGTTGGCCAAAGAAGGACATGGAAGTTGCCAATGTGAAGATCTGGAAACTCTTCACAATGTACAGACATTTCCAGCCAAAGTCCAATATCCAGAGACTCTACCTCAATCCAAAAGAGAGCAGGTGAGGTCTGATGTGCAAGTCTAGTACAAAACCACTGTACTAGACAAAATCTAGAGCATTTAGGGATACATCAATAAGATAACATCCAAGAATGAGCTACTGAGAAAATGCCTCAGGCAGCAGCAGACATGGGAGGAAGTCCCAAACAGAAGAAGTGCCATGGCAAAACAACACCCCCTGTATCAGATATATACCATCGGCAGATAGCTGAGGTGGCTGATATTGAAATCAGTCTTTACAGATTGTCTGAATGCTGAAAAAATGAGTAGTGCTTCCACAAACCTGGGAACAAGTCCTCTCCCCCATTCCTGAGAGATGGGTTTCTGACAGTGGAACACCTTCAAAAATATTTTTCCGGTAGATCTGAGCAGCTGGACATGACCATAATGGGAGAGGAATTCTGTTAGTTGGGTCTTAAAGCCATTTGGGCTTTAAGTCAGTGCCAACACCTCATTTATTTATTTACCACTATGAGCAACACATATCACACTGATTCAGTAAAAACCCCAGTAGAAGTGTCATTATGGGAGCTGTGGTGGCGCAGTGGTTAGAGTGCAGTACTGCAGGCTACTTCTACTGCTTGCCGGCTGCCTGCAATTTGGTAGTTAGAATGTCACCAGGCTCAAGGTAACTCAGCCTTCCATCCTTCCGAGGTCGGTAAAATGAGGATCCAGATTGTTGGGGGCAATATGCTGATTGTGTAAACCGCTTAAAGAGGGCTGTGAAGCACTGCGAAGTGGTATATACTGTATTTTTCAAAGTATAAGACGCTCCGGACTATAAGATGCACCTACCTTTTTGGGGGAGGAAAACAAGATATACGCTAGTGCATGGATATGGGAAATAATATGAAATTTTACCAGTTTGGAACTATTTTAAGTTTTTTTCTTTACATAGATTGGTATTGTAATCAGAATCAGTAAGTTATTCAGCATGCAATCTATTAGATGTAAAGCTTTTTTTCCCCTCTCTTTATTTTCCTTCAGGTAACATTTTAATTAAGTTAGTTAAATGCTTTTTAAATTCCAGCTAATTGTTGATTCTAGACAGAAATTTTACAACAAAAGGACACAAAGAAGAAAATAAGACTCATAAAACACTCACAATAATTCTGCCTCTGCCTCCCAGCACAGCAAATAGTCTGCTTTAGTTTCATTTTCAGCACACCTTGATTAGCACAAGGAAAAAAAAATCTGCCTCCCAGCAATTTGTCTGCTTGCAGGAGGCCCGTGCGGCAATAGGCAATGGCAATCCCTGCAGCCTGAAACAGCTGAGGGTCAGGAGGCCGATCCAACAGACAATCAACTGCTTGTGCTAATTAGGCTGTGCTGAAGCTGAAATGGGCTGTTTGCTGCTTGCTGCAAGGAGGTAAATTGTTGCGAGGCAGAGGCCAAAGGGCGAGGGCCGATGGGTGGGCGGGGCTACATTCGGTGTATAAGATGCACTGAAATTTTCACTCTCTCTTGGGGGGGAAAAGTGTGTCTTATACTGCGAAAAATACGGAAAATCTAAGGGAGCCCTTAGTACTATTGTGATTAAGGGATCCCCTTAATACTATTATGATCCCTCAAAGGATCATTAGGATGCTTATTATCATTTCTTTATTCTTGTTTTTCCCATATTTTATTTGAGCATTCTTTCAATATTTGGCTTTTTAAAATTTACAGTTAACTCACTTTATCCCATTTCTTTTCATGATCTGAAAATTTAAAATAAAAGATGCATGTGATTAGAATACTCACTGTTTTTCTGTATATCAGTTACGTTCCGATACAGGTGTCTTTCAAACAATAAAACAATGATCTTATTTTTTAAAAATTCCTCTTTTGATCTTTACTAAGAGATGTAACTCATTCTATTTCAATATCTTGTAGAGTATAGTATAAATACTTTATTTATTAGGGGAAATGAGTAAAAAAATTTGCATCCAAATTTGTTATTTGTCTTTTCTTATATTATCTTTTATTTTGCCACTGGGATACTTTTTTGTAGTTTAAGATTGGAAGAAGGAAGGTATTGGGTTACTTAGAGATATATCCTTACTAGTACTTCCATTGATGAAAGTAAATTAAATTTTAAATCCAGTTAAGTCATCATATTTACAAAAGGGCTAAATGCAAAGGTTTATCTAAGCATTGTCATTTAAGCAATAATCTAGATCTTTTAGCATTGATCCCTCTCAAAGGTGAGAATTCATAAATGCATATGTTCCTCCAGAGAATCCAGAAAGATATAAAATTCTGATTACCATCCCCAAAACAGAATTGAATACAGTATTTTGGAGATGTGATATGCACTCAGACATATCAATGTTTCAGTTAATTATACAGTGAAACTTTGATTTGGCAAACCTTGATACAAGAACCTTTGGTTGAAACAGGTGACACACTCTCTCTCCCAATTAGTCCTAAAATTAAGTTTGGCATGTACAAGGAACTATTAAAGGAAATGTAGCACTGTTAGTCGTTGATGAATATCTACATATGGATTTGGGAAAAATTATCATTGTTTCATACAGTAACATCAAGAATGTGTAGCCTCAGTAGGTGGTAGAACTAAAAGAAGAGTATTTGATGTTAGCGGTAAGATATAACTTTACTGAGATAAGCATTGTATAGGAATGGAATTTACCACCTAAATTAAATATCAGTGTTATACAGCTAATCCTCGACCTATGACGACAATTGAGCCCAAAATTTCAGTTGCTAAGTGAAAGATTTGTTGTGGGTTTTGCTCCATTTTATAACCTTTCTTGCTACAATTGTTAGGTAAACCACTACAGTTGTTAATTTGCTTGTCAGAAGATCGCAAAAGGTGATCACATGACCTGGGAAACGGCAACCATCATAAATATGAACCAGTTGCCAAGCATTTTTAATTTTGAACACGTGACCACGGGGTTGCTGCAACAGCCATAAGTGTGAAAAATGGTCAGAAGTCCCTTTTTTTCAGCAATGTGGTAACTTCATACAGCCACTAAACAAAATGTTATAAGTTGAGGACTATCAGTAATACATCTCTAGTTAAGATACATCTCTAAGTAATCCAGACACAAAAGGATGGCTGGTCATGTTTTGTTCCTCCATAAAATGTAAGAATTTATATTGATATATTGATTATGGTGCTAGACTCGAAGCAGGTTCTAATCTATCCTCAGCCAAAGACATCAGTGTTCTCAAATGATTACATGGAAAGCTATATTGCTTGCTTTTCAACCACATTCTGCATAAATAATATTTAAATAAATATAAAAATCCTGGTGACTTTGGACCACTCCCTCGCTCTCAACCCTACCGACTCACTGAGTTATTGTAGGTAACAAAGGGAGAAGGAAACACTCGACATGCCATCTTCAGCTCATATATGTAACAAACTATAAATCCAGACTAGAAGTGAGTTTCACATATTTTTACCACCGGTTCGCCGTGAGCATTCCGCACATGCGCCTGGCCTCAAAAACATGGTTAAATAGGACGGGTCCACCCGCAGTCGCTGCTACCAGTTCGCCCAACCAGTCTTAACCGGCTGAATACCACCACTGATGCAGACACATCTTTGTGAATATAATATACGTATTTTTCGGAGTATAAGGCGCACCTACCTTTTTTGGTGAGGAAAAGAAGAAAAAGAAATCTGCCTCTGAGCAATTTTGCCTCGTTGCAGCAAACAGCAAACAGCCTGCTTTACTTTCATTTTCATTTTCAGCATAGCTTGATTAGCACAAGGAAAAAAAATCTGCTTCAGCAATTTACCTCTTTGCAGCAAGCAGCAGAGCCCTGCGCAAAACAGCTGAGAGCAAATCAGCTGAGAGTTGGGAGGCCAATCCAGTAAATTTGGGCTAATTAGGATGAGCTGAAGCTGAAAGGAGCCGTTTTTTCTTGCTGTTTCCTTGCAAGGAGGTAACTGCTGTGAGGCAGGGGCCAATGGGTGGGGTTCAATGGGTGGGGGGGCTACATTCGGTGTATAAGACGCACCTAAATTCTCACCCCCTTTTAGAGGGAAAAGAGGTGCATCTTATACTCCAAAAAATATGGTAACTATTGAGACTTAATCAGTTTATTTAATTGAAAGTAGACAGCAAATTAATGGAAGTACTTTGTGGGAATAAATGAACTGATTGTCTGTTTTCGATTGTTTTAAACAGAATGAAAGTGCCTTTGTGAAAGAAAAGGAGATCTCAGCTGAGCTTGCAAATGTCAAGGATGAAGTTGGTAAGTAGACGCTAAACAAGCATGTTAAATATATTCTTTGCTGGTTACAGGTTTTTTTAAAAAACAACAACAACAGGATTCTTATTTCTTGTTCTGTGGGATGAGATGAGATGAATATATTAAGGCAGGTTTTTATGGTTGTCAGGGGACAATAATGTATTCTTAGTGGTTGCAAAGACAGGTTCATAACCATGCACAGCAGAAGTTATCATGCATTATCTTTAGTGTTCTCAGATGATTACCTGGAAAGCTTTATTGCTTGCTTTTCAACCACATTCTGCATTAATCATATTTAAATAAATATAAAAATCCAGACGAAAGCATTCACCAGTTGTGTAGCATATTGACATAATTAGTCAGCAATCGATAATTAAAATCAAACTGTATCACTAATGCAGTGGGAGCTGTAGCTATCCCCACCCTCACTTTTTCTAAATAACAGGAACAACAATAGATACGGTACTGATTTGAAGTAGTTGTCGCCATCTTTACTACCATTCAATTTAACATATTTAGGAGTCAAGCGGAATCCTGAGGTAAAAATGACTGACGATAGAGCTGAATTGCTTAGTCTGCTTCATAAATTTACAAATAAGAGATAGAAAGTCACAGAAGTATTATGAGCAACTGTGCTCGTGTTAGCAGAGAAATAGCACCAGTATTTTAATTTTCTGGGCAAGAAAATACAGAGTATATTGGTTATGGGGCTGGACTGGTAGCAAGTTCTAATTTATTTTCAGTTAAAGAAGCTTCCTGAGTGATGTTGGACTAATCTTTCTCTTAGCCCAACCTATCTCAGAGTTATTGTAGAAAACTGTGCCTTCTTCAGCTCCTGAATATAACAAACTATTGTCCCAGAGTACAGAGTACAATAATAAGATACATGGAGTCAGCTTCTGATGACTATAAAAAAAATATATATGGTAAGGATAATTTGGCAATGAGACCAGTTATCAAGGGTGCTGGTAAACAAAACAAAACACTGGTTTTGTTCGGTCAGAGGCTAAATAGGCATTTGTCAGAGATGCTTTAGTTTGGTTTGGGCTGCACTTGGTAGAGAGTGGTCTAAAGCAGGGGTGTCAAACTCAATTTCATTGAGGGCTGCAGGGGGGCTCAGGATGGGTGTGGCCAGGGTGGGTGTGGCCAGCTCAACATCACTCATGTCGGGGGTGCCTGTGGTGGCCCAAGCGCTCTGCCAGTGAAAGCAGGCTCCCGAACTCCAGTTCTGACTACAACAGCTTCCTGCAACCCTTTTTCAGCAAAAATGGCGCTCGGGAGGGCTACCAGCGGCCCTCCCGAGCTCCGTTCTAGGCTGAGAGAGTTTCCTGCAACCCTCTGCCAGGAAAAATGGAGCTCGGGAGGGCACCGCGGGCTGATCCTTTGCTGTTTCCAGGGTGACCCCGCGGGCTAGATCTAAGCACCTCACAGGCCGGATCTGACCCCGCAGGCCTTGAGTTTGACACCCCTGGTCTAAAGGCTCTGTCTAGTTCTTTTATTCTATCTCATATATGTTTGCCCCTTTTTGCAAAAATCCTTTTGTTTACATAGTCTGTAGGTCCCCAATCAACTCGACCACTATCCTACAATTAAAAGAGGAAAATCAATATGAAGTGGCTGATCCAACATGTATGACTTCTGTGAAACACTATGTTGTATACTGTATTTTCAATCTGAAGACTGAAATGGGTATCTGAGAAACATATTTTGAGTAAGAAAAATAAACATGAGTGAACAAGTATTGATTTCCCAAACTGAAAAAAATACTGTTTTCAAGGATTTGTCAATGAGAAAACTTTGGGGATTTAGAGACCTGAATGCTAAAACAAAATATTATCATGCATGTTCTTGTCTCCTTTTGGATGCAGAATATAAAATACATACATCAGTTAATCCTGAAGTTTTGTTTTGGCCAAAATCCATGAAAGAACTGGTTGCACCATTGCCATTCAGCTAATACTTCAACTTACAATGTTACAAGCCTTGTAACCCAGAAATGCATAGCATTATTGGTCTTAACTATTGCACTGTCCTATCCAGTACAGACATGAGTGATATAATTCTTTTGACATTGTACTTTTCTTCCCATTATAAACAATACTGCATTTGGATTGATCTTTGCCAGTAGGTCAAATGCTCAGGGAAATCGCATCAGCTCAATGCTAAGAAAACATTTGAGGGCAAGTGCTGTGATTTAACTTCCAACCATCTGTCAAACCAGTAAATGTCATTTTCCATGGAACTTACATGTAGCCTTTAGGTCACAGAGGAATTAGCCAAGGAAACAAAATTATATCTTGACACTCCCTTAGTAGGATGTAGTCTGTGTTTTCTTATGGTGATAGCTCTACCTAGTCATAGGTGGGGTTTCCTGCAGAAGTTTTGGCATCAAGAGTAGATTTGTGATTTAAAAGTTGTAGACTTGTTCTTGGCTGAGATTTTAACTCACCCTGTTACATAATCTCTTGAGAAATGGTTAGGTAAAGCTTTATTGTGGCATTTGACCAACATATTTACACATACATATATATGATCAGATACATACACATAAAATTCAAACAAGTTTAAAAGCTTCATTTTTCTTTGCAACAAAAATATCATACTGCAAAAAAGTTTTGATTTGTACAGATGTGTTTCAGAACCTGCAAGTATCGCAAAACTTTTTGCTGCCATCCCTAAAAGCCCAATATCAACATACCTGATATGTAATGTAGCAGAAATCTATAAAGGTTTTTTGCAGACACTTATCCTGCTCATTCCTCCATATTTTTTTTTAACTGCGACCTGAATTTTGTAGCACCAAAGGCTTCTAAGCTAACTTCTGGTTCATAACTATTGCTACAGCCAGCAACTCTCTGTTTTTCCAAGTTGTTTTCTTTTTATGCGCCGAGTTCCTGAAGCCTACAGCCTCTCCTTCCTGTGGATGGATGGAAATTTTGGTCTGGCTAAGGAGTTGTTGGAAGAATTTGATACCTATTAATACTTTTATGAGTTCAAGGACTAGCTAAGATGTCCCAATAGTGACTATTGAATCTGATTCTCGAATATACGATTTCTGTAAGTGAAGCTATCCATTTGAGTGCCTTGAGATAATGCTAAGATTTGACAGAGCAGTATTGCTGACCATGGTTATATTTTAGTGCTGAAAGATGGAAGCTGATGGCTTATCACGAGGAAGGGAATGAAGTATACAGTAGGAAGGAAGGAAGGACACATCTTTCTTTATAACATTAAAGTTTTCTTTGGAAATCTGATCTAGAGCAGATTTGTGTTATATTGCTAATGATGTGAATCTACATTTTATACTCTGCTTGTGTTTATTTTATTAAAGCTTTTTATTACATAAAAGTCATGAAGAAATTGAATCCTGGCTCTCTTAACATTTTTCTCAGCTTGAAAATAAAGTGCATATGTGTAATGGTGTATAAACTGGCAGGGTTTGCTATGGCAAATGCTGTTGTAGAGAAATAACACCAAGTTTCTAATGTGTATATAATCTCTCTTTATAATATTGCTTCATCCCTATCATAAGTTTTGCATTTTATAGAACAGTGTCTCAAAATCTATATTTTTTTCTGCCTGCTTTTTATTTGGTTTTAGGTTAATTTTAATAATTGCATGATTCAGCAGGTATTCTTCTATTGGTGCAGCCTACACTATGCCAGTCTCATTAAATAGATGTTTGAATGGCAAGTTTCAATTTAAAGCTTGAATGGGTTTCAATTATACTGGATTCCCAGTTCTGACTTTGAATGTATTTTTGTTTGATTGTTGATAGTTTTTATGCCACAATGACAGGTTAAAAAAAAAAACCACTAAAAGGTCACTGAACAAAATGACAGAATTATTTAAAGCAGTTGACAAAACTAGCGAAGAAATGAACAAGCAAATAAACAGAAATTGTCAGATGAAAGATTGTGTGATCTTATGGTTATAGTGTTGTGCTAAGATTGAGAACCCTTAAGTTAAAATTCCAACACAATTATAAAATATATTGGGAGATCTTGAACTATTTCCTGAACTGATTAAAATATATCATTAAGTTCAGCATCATGCTTGAGTCTCAAGCGAGCGGACCTGGCAGGTATTACGGAGACCTGGTTGGGCCATGAGGGGGGGGGGTTTCCCCTCGTGAATATGTGCCCACTAGGTTTCCGAGCATTCCATCAGCCGAGAGCTCAGGGCAGGGGCGGGGGGTGGCGGTTATTATAAAGGAAAGTCTTGATCCGAGGGAGACCACTGTTCCACAGATAGCCGGATGTGAGTCCCTTTTTGTGAAGTGGGGTCGTGGAGTACAGATGGGCTTGTTGATCACGTACCTGGCTCCCTGCTGTGTGGCAACGGCCCTGCTCGAGCTGCTCAACGTCATAGCTAAGGTGGCGATTGGTACCCCCAGACTTCTAGTCATGCGGGATTTCAACCTGCCATCTGTCGGCGAAACGTCTGAGGTGGCTCGAGAGTTCATGGCTTCCATGATGGCCATGGACCTTACTCAGTTAATTCATGACCCTACTCACACGGGTGGACACACTCTGGACTTAGTTTTTGTCTCTGGTCAGTGGTCGAGTGGCCTTGATACAGGGGATATAGTCATCGAACCCTTGTCATGGTCTGACCACTTGCTCCTTCGACTGGACTTTCTAACTGCTGCACCCCGCCGCAGGGAGGCGGGACCGACCAGGTGGTTCCGCCCCAGGTGCCTGATGGACCCTGATAGGTTCCAGATGGAGCTTGGGCCATTTCCTGAGACTCTGACTCATGACTCGGCTGAGGACCTGGTGGCCGCCTGGGATAGTGCGGCTGCCGGGGCCTTGGACCGTGTCGTGCCTTTGCGGCCTCTGACCCGGCACCGAACTCACCTAACTCCTTGGTTCTCCGAGGAGCTTAGGGAGATGAAGCGCCGGAAAAGACGCCTGGAGAGTAATTGGAGGACCAGCCACTCCGAATCCGACCGAACACTGGTGAGGTCTCATATTAAGACCTACCTAGTGGCTATAAAAGCGGCGAAATCTAGCTATTTTGCGCTCATATCGCGTCATCAGATAATCGCCCGGCCGCCCTGTTTAGGGTGACCCGCTCCCTCCTCCACCTGGAAGTGCGGGATGACCCCTTGCAGGGCCGAGCTGAGGAGTTTGTGCAGTATCTGTATGACAAAATCACTCAGATTTGGGAAGGGCTGGCCTCTGACTGGGTATGTCCGGACGGGATGACTGAGGCAGGTCTTGAGAGTGTTATCTGGGAGATGTTCGATCCTGTGACTCCGGAGGACATGGACAGGGTCCTGGGACGGCTGAACGCGACCACATGTTTATTGGACCCGTGTCCCTCCTGGTTGGTACTGGCTTCCCAGGAGGTGACACGAGGCTGGCTCCAGAAGATTGTTAACGCTTCTTTGAGTGAGGGGTCCTGCCGGCTGCTTTGAAAGAAGCGGTTGTGAGGCCCCTCCTCAAGAAGCCCTCTCTGGATCCGGCTGTTTTGGCTAACTATCGTCCAGTCTCCAACCTTCGCTTCATTGCAAAGGTTGTTGAGAGTGTGGTAGCGCAACAGCTTCCCCGGTACCTGGATGAAGCTGTCTATCTAGACCCGCTCCAGTCCGGCTTCTGGCCTGGGCACAGCATGGAAACGGCATTGGTCGCGTTGGTGGATGATCTCTGGAGGGCTCGGGATAGGGGTTGCTCCTCTATCCTGGTCCTGTTAGACCTCTCAGTGGCTTTTGATACCATCGACCATGGTATCATGTTGCACCGGTTGGCGGGGTTGGGGGTGGGGGGCACCGTTCTGCGGTGGTTCTCCTCCTACCTCTCTGACCAGTCGCAATCTGTGTTGACAGGGGGGCAGCGGTCGACCCCGAGGCACCTTGTTTGTGGGGTGCCACAAGGGTCGGTCCTCTCGCCCCTTCTGTTCAACATTTATGTAAAGCCGCTGGGTGAGATCATCCGTGGCTTCGGGGTGGAGTTCCATCAGTACGCTGATGACACCCAGCTGTACATCTCCACCCCAGGCCACCCCAACGATGCCCTTGAAGTGATGTCCCAGTGCCTGGAGGCCGTGCGGGCCTGGATGGGGAGAAACAGGCTCCGACTCAACCCCTCCAAGACCGAGTGGCTGTGGCTTCCAGCATCCCGATATAGCCAGCTGATGCCATCGCTGGCTATTGGGGGCGAATCACTCGCCCCCACGGAGAGGGCTCGTAACTTGGGCGTCCTCCTGGACGCACGGCTGTCTTTAGAAGATCATTTGACGGCCGTGGCCAGGGGGGCTTTTTATCAGGTTCACCTGATACGCCAGTTGCGTCCCTTTCTAGATCGGGACTCCCTACGCACAGTCACTCAGGCACTCGTCACTTCCCGCCTGGACTACTGCAACGCTCTCTACATGGGGCTCCCCCTGGGGTGCACCCGGAGGCTCCAGCTGGTCCAGAACGCGGCCGCGCGGAGGATTATGGGGGCGACGAGGTGCTCCCATGTGACACCTCTCCTGCGTGAGCTGCACTGGCTCCCGGTGGTCTTCCGGCTGCGCTTTAAGGTGTTGGTGACCACCTTTAAAGCGCTCCATGGCTTAGGGCCGGGGTACTTACGAGACCGCCTTCTGCCACCAATAGCCTCCCACCGGCCTGTACGCTCGCACAGAGTGCGCCTCCTCAGGGTGCCGTCCGCCAGACAATGTCGGCTGGCGACCCCCAGGGAGAGAGCCTTCTCTGTGGTGGCGCTCACCCTCTGGAACAACCTCCCCCCCAGAGATACGTACAATAACAGACCTCCGGATTTTTCGTCGGGCCCTGAAAACCTATTTATTTCAACTAGCTGGGCTGGCTTGAGTTAAATTTTAAATTGATTTTAAATCGGATTGTTTTAATTTACGGCCAAAATATTTAATTATTTTAAACTGTTTTTAAATTTTGTATGTTCTGTTTTTTACTTTGGCTGTTCACCACCCTGAGTCCTGTTTGGAGAAGGGTGGTATAGAAAGGGAAACAAATAAAATAAATAAATAAAAAAAGTGCTCCCGTTTTCTTCTCTAGCATGGTCATTGTTAGCTGTGAACAGGATAATAAACCATGATTTCATCCTAATCCTCCTAAAACAAGTCAGAATATTATTTATTTATTTATTTATTTTATTTGTTTAAATTTCTATACCGCCCTTCTCCAATGTAGGACTCAGGGCGGTGAACAGCCAAAGTAAAAACAAGACATACATACAAACATACAAAATCTAAAAACTGTTTAAAATAATTAAATAATTTTGGCCGTAATTAAAACATTCCAATTTAAAATCCATTTAAAATTTGACTCAAGCCAGCCCAGCTAGTTGGAATAAATGGGTTTTCAGGGCCCGACGAAAAATCCGGAGGTCTGTTATTGTACGTAGCTCTGGGGGGAGGTTGTTCCAGAGGGCGGGCGCCGCCACAGAGAAGGCTCTCCCCCTGGGGGTCGCCAGCCGACATTGTCTGGCGGACGGCACCCTGAGGAGGCCCACTCTGTGGGAGCGTACTGGCCGGTGGGAGGCTATTGGTGGCAGAAGGCGGTCTCGTAAGAATATCCTACCTCTGCATTTAATATGAAGGTTTGGTTATTTGAACATCCAAAGAAAATACATATACACAAATAATTGCCACCATTTTCACTTCCAAATCTATCAGAAAGAACTTCGAATGCATTCACAGTCATTTTCACTGGTACTGATCTTGACATTTGGGGAACAAGAAGCAAAGATTTGCTGAAAGGAGAAGAAAAACAATGCCACAAGTTATAGAATAAAAAACAAAGTCCTCACTGGCATTCCATAGATGAAAATTATTCACCTATCTCCTTGTTTCATGTTTTGAGTGATTACTTGGTTTTATGAAAAAAACCATCTGGGTGATTGAACATAAAATCATCAAGCCATTATTCCCCCAAAGGATTTATTAGACCAATCAAATCCAGAAGCTTTGATGCAGGGTGAAGCAAGAGATCTATCTAATGGTGAAACTTATACTTATATCCAATGTTTCAGAACATTTTGAGGGAAAAGTGCTAGCTTCTCTTCATTTTTACCTAACTCAGAACAGAGTTGGTGGTTTTGGCAATGCTCAGTATGTAGAAGTGTTCGAAAGCAACTTTACCTGACAGAATTGATGTGATTTACAAATGAGTCTTGGTCTCAATAAATATATTAAGAGATGTGCTTCACGACCATTTAGAAAGCAAACTGAGCCTCCCGCCCATCAGTTGACTATGTCACTGGATGCTCTTCATCCAGTGTCCTGTGTCCTGGTCAGGCAGGACCAATTTATTCCATTTGTGATAATTAGCACAATCCATTTCAGCACATTTTTGCTATTTTTCTGAATGGAATCTCCTGCATCTTTATTGTTCAAAGGAATCAGTTCAGTCCTGACTTTTCTGCAGATCCTTAATGTGTGGTTCTTCTGTCTTCAGCCCTCAATACAGGGAAATACGAGACACTACAAAAAGAGAAGGAGGAGATGGAAAAGAAGTTTGAAGGAACTGTGCAGAAACTCACTTGGCAGCAACAGGAGGAGCTCCTAGCACTTGAAGAACGTTTGCAGTTACAGTACAGTGCTGAACTAGAACATTTGCGTGAGAACCATCAGATCAAGCTTGAGAGAATCAAGAGTCAGCATCAGGAACAGGTTGGTCATTTTTTTTTAATTTTTAAAAAGTTTTTTATTAATAATTCAAAATTAAAAAAACATTGGACATAGATATGACATCACTAGTTCCAAACATCTTCCGTATTAGTCCTCATATAAACATATAGTTCGTAAACATACATTTATCTATAATAACATTTATATTTTTGTGCTAACACTATACATTTGTCTTGGCTACCCTCTTGTTATCTATCCAATCATAAAATTGTTCCCAGATTTTGTAGTACTTAGTTTCACTTTTATCCTTGAGTTCCAAAGTGAGTCTGTCCATTTCTGCGCAGTTAAAGATTTTCAGTAATATTTCCTCTTCAGTTGGAATATCTATTTCCATTTTTGAGTGAAGGCTATTCATGCCGCTGTGAGTATATGCAGTAATAAATAATTTGTATCTTTCTTATATTTTCTTTCTATAATTCCCAGTAAGAAAAATTCCAGTTTGACTTCTATATTTGTTGACAAAATTTCTTCCAGCCAGTTCTTTAGTAAATTCCAATTTTTTTTGCACCTTTGGGCATTCCCACCACATGTGGTAGTAATTCCCAACAATCTCTCTACACTTCCAGCATATCGAGGATTTCCCCTTATTCATTTGTGCTAATCTTGTGGGGGACAGGTGCCACCTATATAATATCTTATAGAGGTTTTCCTTGTAGGAAGTTGCTAGTGTGATTTAAAAAAAAATTTCCCCATAAAATTTGCCAATTGTCCAAATCGATATTGTGCCCAAAATATTTACACCAAATTGTCATCGTTTCTTTCACCTGTTCCTCAATCATATCTAGGAACAGGTTGGTCATGTTCACTCAGTGTAAGCTCACATGAGAGTGACTATGCACCATGATTTGACAGGCAGACTTTATTTCTGTACATTGCAGCTAAAATACTTTTTTTAAAAATCATAGCGCCAAGTCCATATATGTGTTTGAAATAGGTACTATTCGTTAGAGAATTTTACTGTGTGGATGATGGGAGTTCACTGTTTTAAATGGATAATATATTTGCCAGGCTGTTTGGCGGTTTGGGAAGGAATCATGAGTGATGCCCAAAGCCTGTTTCCTTACCTGGATTATGGTTTAGAGAACTAACCCTCGTATATTGGAGCCAGCAGCAGGGGCAGCTGGATTGTTGAATTGATGGGTGCATGGAATGGTTGCCTCGTGCTGGAGCTGTTCTCTGTTTTGCAATGACAGTTTTACAGTTTTCATCTAGTCTCCAACCTGCCCTTTTTAGGGAAGGTTGTGGAGAATGAACATGTGGCAGCTTCAAAGGATACTGGATGAAGCACATTAGCTGGACCTCTTTTGCTCAGGGTTCAGGCCTGGTTATGGGATTCAGACTCATCGATTATAATCTTAGATGACCTCTAGTGGGAGCGGGGTGAGAGTAGTGCATCTATCCTTGCTCTTCTTGATCTTTTAATGGCCTTCATGGCATTCTTCTAAACCAGCTTTGGGAGTTGGGGATGGGCAGCACTAGTTCTCCTCTTTTCCTCCAGGGTTGGTTCCAATCATTGTTGATGGATGGGCAGAGATCCAGTGTTCAGCCCCTGTTTTGTGGGGTCCTCAGTTCTTTCTTAGTTCTCTCCCTCCCATATTTTAACATCCACATGAGACTACTGAGTGAGATGATTCAATAGTTTGGGGTGATGTATCATCAAAATTGAGGATATCCAATTTTGTGTCTCCATCCTGGGCTGCCTGAGTGATGCCGTGAATATCCTGTTTCAGTGTCTCAAGGCTGTTGGAACCTAGATAGAGTGTAATGAGCTTTGACTCAACCCGAGCAAAGCTGAGTGCTTTTTCTCCCAGCTGTTTCTAACCATCCAATTTGATCCAGTGTGTTACAGGTCCTGTCGGCCAAGTAATGTTGGTTGATGGGAACTAGGAAATATGCTTTCTCTGCCATAGTCCCTGCCCTCTGGAAGATTTCTCCTTCAGAGATCAGGATAACCCAGGCTGGCCTTCCATAAAGCTTCTTATATCCCAGATTCAAAGTTCCAACATCCAGGCCTCCTCTCTGAGTTGACGTGGCCACATTTTGGGCACTTGGCAGCTGGCCAGCTGGCCAGCATTTACAGCTGTTTGCAGAGTCCCACGGTCACATGACTATAATTTATGACATTTTTGCCAGAAACCAGCATTTACTTTCAGTTTCCAAGAAAAAAAACACCCCATAGCGAACAAACACAACCACTTAACAACCACAATGTTCACTTTATGGCATTCACTTAATAATTGCCACAAAATAGGTCATAAGATTCAATGCCATCATGTAGTAGCCTGTGTTACAATTGCCTGATGACCAAGGACTACTTGTATTTAAGAAATACTTTTATGGGGAAGGTTCCAGTAGGTTACAAAAATATATTACATTGTTCTGTCCAACCATGGCTTCAGAACGACTTCAACCTGGTGCAAGAAAGTATATAAAGTATATAACAGAGTTTTGGACATGAAGCACCATAGCTGATAGGTATACAAAATATCTCAGGTTAAATCTCTGGGGTCCCTCGGGAAACCCCTAACTGACAAACCAACCATGTAGAATTTTTGCAAGTCAACTGTAGGCACTCATGCCATAGTTCAAGGCAGCCTGCTGTGCAACGGAAGATTTACAAATATAATCAGTCAAAAGATTCATAGATGCCATCTGTGAACAGGCTAGTTGGAAGGTGGGTTGGAAGAAAATCTGTTAGTCAGGTTTTGACTCCTCAAACAATTACTTTTCTCACTCTTAGGAGTAACTTGCTGAAAAAAATGTGTTTCAAATGTAAAAACTCTACTGGATTAGACCTATCAAGTGTAATCTCTTGTTTTCCTAAACTCTTAACTGTTCTTTTTCTTTAAAGTTCTTTAAAACCACCATAGCTAGTTTACTTCTTCTTATACTTGTGTGTTGTTATTTGAAAAGGTGGATGACATTGCAGCAACTCAGGAAGTGGCAGTATTAGAGATGGAAAATAGCCACGCGATTGCCATTGCAGAACTTCAGGAAGAATACGAGCACAAAATTCAAGGTAATTCTGCAATCCCAGCAAGCACTTATTCTACCATTTTAGATGGTGATCTCTGTGCAATCAATTTGAGTTTGTGGGATGTCTTCCTCAGAAAAGTTCAGGAAGGAGAGGGCATGGCTGGCATCGGGCGATACGGTGTGGATTCTGGAGCTCCAGGAGAGCACCGATCTCCCAGCCGATTTTGGAGATCCCTAGGGATCATAGTTGTCTTGTAGGGACAGTGGAGAAAGAAGACGCAGGCTGGCACGGATAGGGAAAGAGTAAGTTCCCTGAAGTGCCGGCATTAGTCTTCGACCCATCGGCGAAGGAAGGCAGCCATGGAGCTGTCAAAAGCCAGAGCGGCCACGATCAGAAAGAGGAAGTGCATGAGTGGTGATTGAACAGAGTATTGTTACCAGATGAGTGATTGGCCAACTCACAGGTAAGAAGAAAAAACTTTTAAAAGCTTGAAAGAAGTCCCAACGAGCAATTAGTGGCTAATTTGCACTTGGGAATTTAAGCGGAGGGGGGGAAAAAAGAGGAACTTTAAAGTTAAAATGAAAGCTCTAAAAGGAATCTTCCACCTGGATTTAAAATTGGATTTTGAAAGAAATAAAAACAAGACAAGGGAAAAGGAGACAGAGGAACATTTTTTAAACAATAAAAAGATTTAACTCGGAAGAGAGGAAACGGGTATTATAAAATGGATACTTTGTTGCCGAAAGAGTTGTGAATTGAAGAGAGACATCTGCTGGAAGAGAGATCGTGGGAAAGAGCCATAGGAGTATACAGCTGAAAAGATTAAGAGAAGCAGAGAGGACGAGGTCTGAGATTGTGATGGCTCAAGTGAGCATTTGAACTGGACAGAAAAGTTCAGAAAATTATACCATATTGTACAAATTCACAAGCGTCAAGCTAAAATTCTTTATTTTATTTTAATCTCTTTATTTTAATCTCAAGTGCCAGACTAAAATTGGGCCGTGTTGGTCTAATGGTTAAGGTACCAGGCTAGAAAGCTGGAAACTGTAAGTTCAAGTCCCACTTTAATCGTGAAAGCCAGTGATTTGGGGCCAGTCATTCTCTCTCAATCCAACTGTCCTCATATAGTTATTGTGGGGAAAATAGGAGGAGGAAGGAGTATTGTGCATGTTCGTTGCCCTTGAGTTACTTGTAAAAATAATAAAGGCAAGATGTAAATAAATACAGAAAATCTCATTTCTACAGAAGTCACCAACTAAAGGAATGAAGAAGACTTTATAATTTAGTCAATTGATTGTATCATAAGCAAATGACTATAAATAAACGGTCACTCTTATAATTAACCCCAATCTGATCTATGTATTCTGTCTTCTTTGAGATGGACTTTGAAATGAAGTGTGCAGTCTTACTGGTGATAATGCATGTTCGTTCCCTGCAGTAAATAAGATTGTTTCTCCTCACTGCCCCAATACTTTTTAGTTTTCAAATAAGGGTCTAATAAGCTTCTGGAGAGTACAATTTGCAGTCATCAAGAATGTGTTCAATGTCTTCGGTGTCTTTCTTCAGCTGAGACTCCATAAAACCTCCCATGTCTTACCATGGAGCCCATTTTTTCAAACTGATTTCTAAAAAGATGCTTCTGAGATGTTGAGACATATAAGATGTCAAATATTTTTATGACTTGGAAGCTGGCTTGTGTTGATCCAGTCCCTTCAGAGACTTGACACATTTAAGTGCTGCAATATCATCTTGGGCAGCCACATCAATAACGCTTTTGTTTGAAGGCTTCATTGGCCTTTAGAACTGATTAGACTGGGAATTGAATGGAGAATTCATATTGAGAGATTGGGTGGCCCAAGTGTGAGGTTGCCTGTTGTGAAACTACTCTTCAAAACCCTTTGAGGTTGCTTGTTGTGAAACTGCTTGTCAAGGTTCCGACAAATGCCCTAATTAACTCATGAGTCTCCAGCCAAGTTTCAAAAGAAATCCAGTTATTTATTAGGAGCAACATGTCAGCATCTACTCCAGTGAGGTCAACTCTGCCGCAGGTAAATTACGGCTCAACTTTGACCCTGTTTCCCCCCCTCCTCTCAGTCTGTGTCATAAATCACATTCTCCAATGCCTCACAATCCGGCTTTGGTAATCTGAGATCCAACTGTGGAAGAAGGTATGCGTGAAATGTGCTCCTCCCTTGCTGCCCATGGCAACTCGAGAGCAGACTAGAAATGCTTTGCGAGTTGACACTGCTCTTCTGGATCCAGGAATAGGATCTTCAGCTAGTAATTGAATATTACAAAACAGCTCTGTCCTTACTGCTGAGGCTGTCCCCAGTTGAATTGTTCTATTGATGTATAATTCTAAGAGTCTATAACAGTGGTTCTCAACCTGTGGGTCACGACCCCTTTGGGGGTCGAACGATCCTTTCACAGGGGTCGCCTAAGACTATAGAAAACACATATTTTCAATGGTTTTAGGAATAATTTTATGGTTGGGGGTCACCACAACATGAGAACTGTTAAAGGGTCGCGGCATTAGGAAGGTTGAGAACCACTGGTCTATAATGAATGTACATTGCAACTACCTAGATTTTATTTAAATATAAAGAAAACTTCCAGATAGTTAGGTCTCTACAATAGTGGAACAGTGCTTACTAGGGTTGTGAGTTCTCCATCTCTGAAGATTCTTAAAGGTTGGCCAGCCAGGTCTCAAGGATGGCTTAATACATTACAGAATTTTGGACTAGATGATCTTTGAAGTTCTTTCCAATTCCGCAGTTCTTGGATTCTGAGATTCTATATCAACTTTTGGGATTATTATCCAAGAAGCATTTTTATTTGTACCGATATCATGTGTCTCATTTTTATTTTTACAGGCCATTCATTCAAAAAGACATTATTGTAAAAAGAAAATATTTTGATTAGGCACACCATTATATTACACTCATTTCTCACCTTGTCCCTCTAAATATTTTGTCTATAATTCCCAAAATTCTTGATCATTGATCATGCTGATAGGGTTTTATTCATCCAAAATGTATGAAGAGCACTAAACTGTCTCTTCCTACCATCAGAAATCCATATTAAACAACTCACAGTCAAATTCCTTTTTTTGCACGTATTAGTACTGAGTTATTGTCTCAGCAGAGCTTGCTAGGGAAATCGTAAAAATCGCTCCAATATCTTTTTGACTAGCAGTTTTATTATGACATAGTTTCCCTAGCAACAGCTTCTACCTGGGGACTTATAATCTATCAAAGTTGAGCAGGATAAAGTTAAAGGCATTGCAAATGGCCCACTAAAATTGGAGAAGCTTTGTCTATCCGAGAGAGGCACTGCTTTAGAAATAAGTATTTAGCAACAACTCATAAGGTAGAATATTATTAAAAGTCAATTATTATTGACTTTCATAAAGAATAGGATTCTATTCTTTCCGATCATTAAATATCAATATTGCTTCTCAGTTATGCCATTTTCTAACCATCATTATTAATACTTTTCAAAATATTTTGGTCTATATTAAATAAACGACATCTCTGTCATGAACGTTATTTCTCACCATCCTTTACTAAATTAAATCCCACCTCTTGTCTAAACTATTATGCTTTTTTGAAATAATTGTAAGAATTAACACAGAGATTGCTCCTCTCCAATTATGTATGGTTTATGCAGTAAGATTGCCCTCTTGTGAGTGAATTTAGCATTGAAACAGGTTTTTATTATTTATGAAGTCAGGGGCTTATAGCAATTAGTTGAGCTATTAAATTTTAACACATGGCTTATTAAACCACAAATTACTGAGGGTCAACAAAATGTCATCAATATTTAAGAGGAGGGGCGTCTTTCTTTCTTTCCACACTGTATAGGCTGTCAGCTAAGTTTACAACAGGAAACCTCTAAATTGACTAGATCAGGGGTCTCCAACCTTGGCAACTTTAAGACTTGTGGACTTCAACTCCCAGAATTGGCTGAGGAATTCTGGGAGTTGAAGTCCACAAGTCTTAAAGTTGCCAAGGTTGGAGACCTCTGCACTAGATCACAGTAACTGAATCAACAACTATTCATTCAACAGTTCCAAATGTTAAAAAAAAATAATTAACAATTGCCATTTTCATTGAAATCATATTAAAATGAAAAAAATGGGCATTATTTATTTTCTTTTCTTTTCTTTTTTTAAATCCCCTCTAGACATAAAGTCTGCTCATGAGCAAGAAAAAAGAGAACTGGAAGAAAATTTTGAAAAGTTGCGCTTGTCACTCCAGGTTAGTATTTTATTCATATGCTGGTTGAAATTGTTGCTTGTTATATTATGTGGGTCTCCTGGAGGAGCAAAATTCTTCCAGCAGTTCAAAAGCAGCAGCATGAAACAGACCCTAAAGTATCTTGAGGAGGACTCTAAGGAGCGGTTTGTGTCTATTATGATGCCTGATGGTTTCGCTTTCCACCAGCTGTACTTGTCTACTATTTCCCTGAATAGTGCTATGAGTTTGCACACAGATGATACTCAAGATCAAACAACATAAAGTTTAAAGGCAGCAAGGAAGTGAGGAATATGCTGGAAACAGTAGAATAGAATAGAATAGAATAGAATAGAATAGAATAGAATAGAATAGAATAGAATAGAATAGAATAGAATAGAATAGAATAGAATAGAATAGAATAGAATAGAAAGAATAATAGAGTAGAGTAAAGTAGACTAGAACAGAACAGAACAGAACAGAATAGAATTCTTTATTGGCCAAGTGTGATTGGACACACAAGGAATTTGTCTTTGGTGCATATGCTCTCAGTGTACATAAAAGGAAAAAAATACATTCATCAAGAATCATAAGATATAACAGTCATAGGCTACTAATAAGCAATTAAATCATACTAGGAAACAAATAAAATAAGATACAAGCAACATGGTTATAGTCATAAGTGGGAGGAGATAGGTAATAGGAAGGATGAGAAGAATAATAGTAATACAGTCTTAGTAATAATTTGACAGTGATGTGGGAATTAGTTGTTCAGCAGAGTGATGGCATTCAGGAAAAAGCTGTCCTTGTGTTAGTTGTTCTGGTGTGCAGTGCCCTATAGGATCGTTTTGAGGGTTAGGGTTAGGTTCTAAGTTTTTTCTAGGTTCTACCATATCTCACGATCTAAAATGGACACCCAACATCAAAAACGTCATCAAAAAAGCACAACAAAGAATGTTCTTTCTGCGCCAACTCAAAAAGCTCAAACTGCCCAAAGAGCTGCTGATCTAGTTCTACAGAGGAATTATTGAGTCTGTCATCTGCACCTCTATAACTGTTTGGTTTGGTTCTGCAACCCAACAAGACAAACACAGACTTCAGAGGATAATTAGAACTGCAGAAAAAACAATTACTACTAACCTGCCTTCCATTGAGGACCTGTATACTGCACGAGTCAAAAAGAGGGCTGTGAAAATATTTACAGACCCCTTCACATCCTGGATATAAACTGCTTCAACTCCTACCCTCAAAACGACACTATAGAGCACTGCACACCAGAACAACTAGACACAAGAACAGGTTTTTCCCAAATGCCATCACTCTGCTAAACAAATAATTCCCTCAACACTGTCAAACTAGTTACTAAGTCTGCATTACTATTAATCTTCTCATCGTTCCTATCACCCATCTCCTCCCACTTACGACTGTATGACTGTAACCTTGTTGCTGGTATCCTTAAGATTTAAATTGACTGTTTTCTAATAGGATTTGATTGCTTATTTGTTCCCTATGACTATCATTATGTGTTGTACCTTATGATTCCTGATGAATTTTTCTTTTCTTTTATGTACACCAAAAGCGTATGCACCAAGACAAATTCCTTGTGTGTCCAATCACACTTGGCCAATAAAGAATTCTATTCTATTCTATTCTATTCTATTCTATTCTATTCTATTCTATTCTATTCTATTCTATTCTATTCTATTCAAGAGTTATCATTGTAAAGGAAGAACTGGACTTCTTCTCTGTCATCCTGTAAGGTAGGACCAGAATCAACAGCTTGAAATTAGAGGGAAGAGGATTCAGGTCAACCAATAGGTGTCTCAGAAAATGGTATGTAGGTCTTCAAAGAAAAGGTTAGGTAACCATCTGTCCAGAATGCTTTGGTGAAAGAGGAGGTAGGATTAGATGACCTCTGAAGTCATTTCCAGCTCTGTGACTTTGACAAAACCTGTTAAGAGTGCTTTGTCTATATATTCATGATATCCGAGCTGGCAATGACTGATTTGGAGCCATAATGCACAGCTTGATGAAAATGTCAGTCCCTTTGTGAAACAGGCCAATTTCATGCTTGGAGGCAATAAAAATGAAATTGAAAAAAGGAACTGCTAATATAATACTGCCCTTATACAATTCTGTGATAAGACCACACTTGCACTATTTGCTCAGTAATGATTTATAGTGACTTCCAGCTATCACCAGCATGATAAAACTGTAACAAAGGCAGGCTTTATATCACTACAGCCCTGGCTGGCTGATGCTAGAAGACACTATAAATTACTAGTGAGGAAATGTCCTTGGAGTATTGTGTACTGTTTTTGTTATCACGACCGAAAAAGGATATCACAGAACTAGAAAAGGGCTGGCAAAATGATCAGAGGGCTGGAGCAGCTCCCTTGCAAGCAACGATTATATGAATCCTGCACTAGCCTGATCTAGCCAGGCTCTTCTGAGTTTCTGATGAACATTGGAATCAAGCACATCTAAAGGTAAAGGTGTCCCCTGCCCAATCGTGTCCGACTCTAAGGAACAGTGCTCATCTCCATTTCTTAACCAAGGAAGCCAGTGTTGTCCAAAGATATTTCCATGGTCATGTGGCCAGCATGACTATACATTGAGGTACACTGAATGCTGTTACTTTTCCACTGAAGTGGTACCTATTTATCTACTCATATTTGCATGGTTTTGAGCTGCTAGGTGGGCAGGAGCTGAGGTGAGTAATGGGAGCTCACCCCTTCATGCCGTGCTCAGGACTCAAACCTTTCCAGCTGACAAGCTCATAGTCTTTATCCACTGAGCCATCACGCTTCCTCAAGTACATATACCAAAGACATATATGTAAATTATCAATTGTTGATTTATATATTACCTTTGTTCAATGGGTTGCAAAGTCAGATTTCAAAAGGTTGCATTAAAACCAAATTGAAATCATCATAAATACCACAATCTAAGAGGTAGAGGGAAGGACAAATGACTAAGCTTATGTTGTGTCACAATTTTAAAACCTTACATATTCGTGCTTGCTGTTGCAAAACAAATAAGAAGCTTGCAACATTATGCCACAAAACACATTTTGCCATTATTGTATCACAGTTAGGACCAGAGTCATTACTAAGGAACCAGCATTTTCAAATACTGTATTCAGTGTAACATATTCTTCCATGAATGAATAATAGGAAAAAAGAAATGAAGATTATGCTTTTTCCATGTATTGGCAATATTCACATGCCCCCATGGATTATTTTATCTATGGTTTATTCAAGAAGCCACAGTTGCTGCATTAACATACTAAAACCTATTCTCCTTTATTGGTAAAACCTAAACATTATGATTTGCCTTAAAAGTAACCCAACGGGTACACTAGGATGGGTGGGAAGCATTTTCTGTGTTTTTGAAGGGTGACATTGGTATCTTGACACTAGTTGCAAGTCTGGCTTAGAATGATGTGGCAGCATAGACAATTGTCATTTCTTAAACTAATACAACACAGCCCTGCAGAAAGATTAAAACTGCCAACTTCATGACAAGGACAAAGAGTCACTGGTGGGCTCAACTTCTATAAATCCTCAAAAAGCAAAGCAAAAAAAATATTTTAACTCTTGAATAGACAGGAGGAAAATAAAACAGTTGCTTCAGGCTTATGCATGTGACATTCTCACACACCATAAATGCACACATTGTATGTTGTTGCTGTGTATTCATCTAGTTGTATAAAAAATATCAGAACCATTTCTGTGCTTGGGATCTTAAACATTATCAGACTTAAATACTTTCTCCTTAAAAGAGAGGCTAAGCTAGAACATCTAAAAGCTCTGAGGCAGGAGGCAGAATGCATCCCAAGTTCTTGCAAGCTTGGAAATGGACAGCTGCCAGCTCCAGCAAGCTGCAACATTTGAAAGACAAGGCTAGTTTTACTATAGCTCCAAATGTCCTGCTAAGTCAAAATAAGTTGACTTAGTTCCTGAACATGGATAATAATTTAAGTTCACAGAGATTCAAAGCTGGCATAGAGGCCATGTTTGGAAGTGTGCAAGGGCCTACAAAGAAGGAAAGCAGGAAAGCCATTCTCCCGTACCTCATACCTTCTATCTAAAATGGAATTTGATCATGCAGGCCACAAGAGGAGTTATATACCAGAGAAGTAAGATTTACAGGCAGAAGAAATAAGGTGCTGTTTCTGCGGCTCAGTCACATCCTTCTCCAGTTGGCCCCTCCTCCTCTCCTTTCAGTTAAGGAAGGGATATTTTATGTAATCAAAATGGTGAAGGAAAATGGCCGTAAAGCTCAGGTTCATTGCCACAGGGGAGAAGATCCTCTTCCTCGTCCTTTTCTCCTCTTTCTCCTCTAATTGCTGGAGCCAGTAGGACGCTTCCTCAACATTAATTAGTAGCTCATGTCTGAAAGATTTGCCTTGAGGCTCTATAATACTAATCTTGGGTTTTACTTAAAACAATTACTTTTTGTTTCAGAAGAACTATCTAAAATGTTTGCCCAGAGGTGAATTAGATCATCACTGAGAAGTGGTTGTGTTTAATATCATTTACAGGACCAGGTAGATACTCTCACTTTTCAAAGCCAGTCTCTAAAGGACAAGGCAAAACGATTTGAAGAGGCATTGAAGAAAAACACTGAAGAACAACTAGAGGTACTCAATATATGTTCCTTCTAAAGATATACTGATATACTTTAGATATATTGATCAAGGCTGAAATCCAGCAGGTTCTGACAGGTTCTGGAGAATCAGTAGCAGAAATTTTGAGTAGTTCGGAGAACTGGCAAATACCACCTCTGACTGGCCCCAGAGTGTGGTGGGAATGGAGATTTTGCAGTATCCTTCCCCTGCCACACCCACCAAGTCCCGCCCACCAAGCCACACCCACAGAACCGGTAATAAAAAAATTTGGATTTCACCACTGTGAGAGATTGTTGGTCCAGTGGGCTGTCTGATATTGACATAAGAAGCTGGCTAAATAATTGTATCATTTCAATCTGGCTTTTGGATCATTTTTGTGATTGGGTGAGATTGCTTTGTCCTTCAATCACTTTCTCGGCTTTCTGTTTCTTTCTGGTGGACAGACTCAAAACCTTCCCTTTCTTCTCTCTTATGCTGGTGGAAATTTATGCTTCTACGCTGGCTTTGTTCAACACAAATAGGAGTTGCACTCAGCTCCTAGCACTCTCAATCTGGGTTTAAATCTCATAAATTCTACATGGAAGAGACAAATTTAAGTCTATCACCAGTGAGTAGCTGGTGGCCAGATTAATACTTATGAGTGCTGGCCCAAATATTTGCTAGTTTTAAAAAAAACAGCCTATGAAGGTTATTTTTCTATATAGCCTGCCAATCACTATGGCTCTGTATCTCACAGTATTTCTGCTAAGTAAATAATGAATATAGAGTATTGCCAAAAAGACACAGTTTTTACATAATTAAGTCTGTCCAGAACTGGCCAGACTTTACAAATGTCTTCTACCTAGCTGGCACCCCACTGAAGTTATGGATAAAGTCAAGCCTGCCAACTAGTTAGGCCAATCCCCTGGCACCAGTGGTGGGTTGCTCCCAGTTCGGTCCGGTTCTATAGAACCGGTAGTAAAACCGGCGGGAGGCTCCACCCACCCGCCATGACGTCATCATGGGTGATCTATGTATGTGCTCCTGCTGCGAACCGATAGTAAAGGTAAGTGGAACCCACCCCTGCCTGGCACCCCACATATCCCAGTAATAAAAAGCATCAAATCTGCATAACCCTATGCAGATAGGGTTCAGAGAAACATCCATGGGCTTTCTTAATTGTCATGCCAAACCTAGACCACCTGAGAATCAAATTGAAAAAATAAGGACTTAGTTTTTAAACAGTTTTTCAATATTTTGAAATTGAAATAGGACTTTTTTTGTATTGGTTCAACAAACTTCTTTACATGTTTTTTGCTAGACAAATTGAAGATTGCTGTGCTGTCCTTTCCTTATTCCCAATCCCACCTTCATAGGGAAAATATTTCAGAAAATTATTATGCTGAAATCTTTGAAACTGTAAGACTGCAACACTCTGGATTAATGTTTACGAATAAGTCTACCATCCCTGCTGTTTTCATTCCATCCTGTCAAAATATGAAGCCGGTGCAAGCATTCTGAACCTTCCCTTCACAGCTTCTGAATGGATTTTTTTCCTGGTTAAATCTCAGAGAAGCTTCAGTCAGTTCAGCTGCAACAAACAGCATTTTGCTGTTTACTTTAATCTATTTGTATTCAAATTGCCAATTTAATTAAACCAGGACCGATTCGTACTAATTCAGTTTGTATTATTTTTATACCACTGAGCAAAGGAGCCTCTGTCCTGGGTGATACAACAGTGCTACCACTGGTGGGTTTCAAAATCTTTTACTACCGGTTCTGTGGGTGTGGCTTGGTGGGCATGACATGGCTTGGTGGGCGTGGCTTGGTGGGCATGGCAGGAGAAGGTTACTGCAAAATCCCCATTTCCTCCCGATCAGCGGGGACTTGGGAGCAGAGAATAGATGGGGGCGGGGCCAGTCAGAATTTTTACTACCGGTTCTCTGAACTACTCAAAATTTCCGCTACGGGTTCTCCAGGACTGGTCAGAAGCTGCTGAAACCCACCTCTGAGTGCTGCTTCTCATATCATTCTTCATTCTTTTAGGTTGCCCTGGCTCCATATCAGCATTTAGAAGAAGATATGAAGAGCTTAAAGCAGATTCTGGAAATGAAGAATGTACTCATTCATCAACAAGAAAAGAGGATCATGGAGCTAGAAAGGCTGGTGAGGTCTCATTTGCTGCTATTTCTAATTGTTTATGAAAAACTTGAAGAGCGATTAAAAAGCAAAGATCAATATGTTGTTACTTATCTATCAGAACAATCTTGCCCAATTAGATATCCGCAGATGCTCTCACCATTTCCAATCAGTGTGTTTTGGATTTTTTTAGAACTTCACTCACATTCTCTTTGCCTGGCAAAAATTGTTTCCAATGACAACATTTGATCAGCAACTAATATAGAATTGTTAGTGACAAGTTCTTAGAAATTTTTGTCTGCCGTGACTGCATGTTACGTGTGGTTACAGTAATCCTAATTTCCTAATTATTAGATTCCAGGGGTGAATGTATGTGTGATTTAATTCAGATCTCAGTGGAAATGACTTGTGGGATAACTTTTATATCATAATATTTTGGAGAAAGTCTCCAGTACAAGTTGCTTGGATTTAGAGGCATCTGTAGAATTTCTCAGAATAACCAAACTCTATGCACGATTTCCCCCTTATTGACATGAATGCTTTGTTAACAATGTTTTTGTAGAAAAGCTCAGGGTTGCATCATATTGTCAAAATATTTTCATCATTTTCCCAGTCCCACCCCTCACAGACACCCATGTTTGTGGTAAATATAACAGCCTGCCTATCTCTTTAGGCAGAAAAGAACTTAATTCTAGAAGAAAAAATTCAAGTACTACAGCAACAAAATGAAGACCTCAAAGCCAGGATTGATAACAACACTGTGGTGACAAGGTCAGTTTAAATGTTTTCTACAGAGCAAGAGGATAAAGCAGGGGCAGGTTTCAAAACCCGTCGCTACTGGTTTGCTCGTGGGTGCGCGCATGCAACACTTCTGCACATGCGCAGAAGCATCCAGGTGGGTGGGCGGAGCCTCCCGCTGCCGCTGCTACCGGTTCGCACAATCCGGGGCAAACTGGTAACAACCCACCACTGGGATAAAGGCAACTATCAGCGGATTTAATTACCGCATGTCTTTTTTATGTTTACTTTGCTGCTATTGCTCAAGAAATCAGAATACTGGAAGAATATGAACATTACTCTATACATTGAGAGTTCATGCAGGAATTATTTACAAATAGTTATGAAGGTATCTTCATGTGTTTGGTCATAGTTTTTTGCCCATTGGTAAATGCACTGAAAATATGAACTTAGCTTGCATATTTTCTGTAAAATCTGCATTTTTTTGTACATTTTCTATGTATGTGTATTGCTTGAACTAGACAGTATTCTGATCCATGGAGGGGTGCAAGTCAAGAAATGCGAATGGAAAACATTCCTTTAAAAAAATGGAGGCCAAATAAATTTCTACAGCATCCCAAGTAAACATTTACAGGATTGTACTCTACGAGACTAAACTATGAATCAAAGATTGCCTGATTCAAATTACAACATCCATGAATTGTTTGAGTTCTTATTTGACCATAATGACATTTCATAAGTTCACTTCCCAATGGTGAGTGATAGTACATGAGTCAGAAATGCCTTGCTGAAGTAGGGTTGTTGACCTTTGCTTATCTTTATGTAGCCACGTGATGTAAAACATCATTGCCCATTGTTGCACCAATGTTAAGGATGCTTGTCTAACCACGTTGTTCCTTCCTTGAGTCTTTGGCAGAAAATTTCATCAACTTTTTCCTTTGAAGGAGTAGAAGCAAAAAAAGTTGCAAAATAATCAAGAGTTTAAAAAAATTATGAATAATCCTAGTTATGAAACAAAATGCAGGTGAGCAGTTTGTTGTAAGAAACAAACAGCTTCAAGGATCACATATACATTTATTAGGGCACAGACTTCCTTATTTGTTAGCTAGATAGCTATAGCTGTGCTATTTGAAAGAGGTGTTTCAAAATCTGTATACTGGAGTACATCTAAATTCCTCTTTTCATCTGGCACTGGTTGTCTCAGACTAATCTACTACCTAAGGTCTTTATAACTAGGGGCCTTATCCAGATACATTTTACCAAATGTGAAGTGTAGGATGAGGGATTGATCTACCATATTTTTTGGACTTTAAAACGCACATTTCCCTCCCTAAAAGGGTGTGAAAATTTGGTGTGTCTTATACACCAAATGTAGCCCCTCCCACCCAAAGGCCCCCACCCTTTGGCCTCTGCCTCCCAGCAATTTACCTCCTTGCAGCAAGCAGCAAGAAGAAACAGCCCATTTCAGCTTCAGCACAGCCTAATTAGCACAAGTATGATTGTCCCCGACTCTCAGCTGTTTCAGGCTGCTGGGATTGCCATTGCTTATTGCTGCGTGGGCCTCTGCTGCTTGCTGCAAGGAGGTAAATTGCTGGGAGCAGATTTTTTTTTCTTGATCTAATCCAGCTATGCTGAAAACGAAAATGAAAGTAAAGCAGGCTGTTTGCTATTTGCTGCAACGAGACAAAATTGCTGGGAGGCAGAGGCAGATTTCTTTTTCTTGTTTTCTCTCAGAAAAAAAGGTAGGTGCGTCTTATACTCCAAAAAATACAGTACTTTATATCAGATCATGAAAGCACCGTATTATGAGCTGTTGTCAATTTGAATTGGTCTGAGGTTACTTTTCTTGGATGAAAGCAATAGCAGGAAGGTAGGGTTAGAAAGGGGATGGGCTGATCAGAACACAAAGGTGTGCAAGGTGAGCATCTGATAATTACGAAAGTCAAGTTTGATGTTGTCTTGTCACCTTCTCCAGACAGTTATCTGAAGAAAATGCTAACCTCCAAGAATATGTGGAGAAGGAAAGCAAGGAAAAAAAGAGGCTGAGCAGGACAAACGAAGAGTTGCTGTGGAAACTCCAGACCTCAGAACCCATGAGTCCTGTTAAACTATCTCCAACTTCTCCGACGCGCATTTATCGCTCTTCATCAGGACCCCCAACTCCAGCTAAAGTCAGCACAGTACCAAGATGACAGACCAATGCAGCTACTTAAATAGACTTGGCCCAGAATATGGAAAACTGCAGTCCAAGCGAGTTGTTATGAACTGCAGTGAAAGATTCGTTGCTGTTCCCACATGTTCTCTAGTTCCTTATGATTAAGCAATGTACTTTTGTCATTTCAGCATCAGCAACTCAAAACTAGCATATGAGGTCCAAAAAAAAATAGCAATGTAGTCTGATGCATGGAAACATCTTCTGGGATTAGAGGCAAAAGCACTGGAAAATTGTTACTTATCATTCACCCAGAATGATTTCTTTTTCCACAATAATATTTCAGGTTAGTTGCAAATAGCTCTGCTTACATCTGTGGCTTTGGTGGGGTATGGATTGTATTGAGATCCAGGCACAAAAACGTACTCAACAGCCAGAAGGCCTACATATACAGCTCTGCATGTGTAACCGAAGCTGTTCTGAATTGCAATTTTTCATGAACTAATTCTGCAAAAAGTGCTGATATTTTCAAGGCAGCAATTTTCTAAAATGTGCCTAAAAATTATTCTGAAAGGAATTTTTTTGGGGGGGGGGGGGGGGGGTGGCTGGGGTCAAAGCTTCCCAGGAACATTTCTACCCAGACTAGAAAAAAGTTAGAAAAAAGGAGAAGCATCTTCTAAATGACCACCAAGTGGTACATTTTCTAAAGCAGAACACCAGCGACTTTTGAATTCTTAACTAGTTACTGACTTCAAAAATGATAATTGGTTTTCTACACACAATGCCTACCATGGTCACTCATCTTCCAGGCTCAGTATTAGATCTTGCAATTGTAGTCAGTCAGTTACTTTCTTTCTTTAGCTCATAAGAGTGACTGACTTTTTTTTAAGGTTTCTAAATTGTTAGCAAGTTAATATATATATATATAAATATGAACATAAATATCCTCCCCCCCGAACACCATAAAACCTTTCTTTGTACAGTGACCATCAAACTTTGGCTGAAATCCTAACTTACAGTCAATATACTAATAAGTTCGATTGAAGACATGAAGTAGTTTGGATGTTCTTTGACTGTATTTTGCTCTCTTTTGCATATAAAAAACCCCAACTCTACTGACAGAAATTGCTTCTCATTCACAGAGATGGCCAAAGGCATAGTCATTCCAGGCAGCTGCTTGTAGCTCATTATTTAATGCCAGTGAAGCAATTTGCAAGCTGAGAAGGTTGCCTTTGATCATTGATTAGTCAGTTATGTTGTGGTTGTATGCAGTATTGGCATATTGAGCAACTTTGTCAGGGATACCAGATACGGCTCTAAAAGCAGGGGCCTAAACTTGACCATTAACATTGTGCACTTCCACTTATTCCATATTCACAGAATTTTGTCTCAGTTTATGGCCAACCCACTGGGTTCAGTATTTCTGCTTTTCTTAATTGCCATCTGAACACTGGTACCCAAATATATATTTAGTAGTAGCATTGAATGGGGTATTCTGGCTCAAATGTAGACTGGCTTTCTAAAGTGTAGGAGACAGGATAGTAATATATTTTGAGATGATTCTTGATCTCAGTGAAAGTATGAAAAGTATGCAGCCAATACCCCTTATTGTCTTTGATGTGTTAGAAGGTGAGTTCTAGCATGTTGTCAAATACAGTATGTTAGACTAGACTGTAAAAGCATTGATGCTAGCACTTGAATGCTTGTGGAGCATATATTGCCTAAGTCAGCCTTCCCCAGTTAAATGCCTCCAGATATATTGGACTGCAAGCTCACATGGCTCTTAACCTACTTTTTGGGAATTAAGGGATTTGTAGCCCAGAAATCTCACTAATGCTGCGTTGGGCAAGGCTGAGTTAAGCAAATGTAGGTCTTGTTATTTGATATCTGTGTGGCACTTTGATTCTCAAGTAATGGCTGTGGCTTAGTGTATATTTTGCACAGCCATGGATGAGTCCATCAATTTAAGAACTGTTCAAAGGGCCACATTATGTGAGAAAGCAGGAATAGGTATAGCGAAAAATATGCTATGACAAATACTTTGCTGAAGTTTGCACAAACACTTAGTCCAGAAAGTCTGCTTAGTGTTTGGGAATTGCTGGTAAAGCCTAAACTTCACCTCAAGAGCTAGCCAGCATTGTCTGATGACAACCACAGATTTGGGGCCTAATTCCATTGTGTACAAAGTAACAAGACTGATTTTCCCCCCCTTAGGACTTTATTTTTGTAGCTGCCTTGCATGATACTATGATATTAAGAACATCTTCTTAGATTAGCTCATGTCATGTTTGTAAGTAACACCAACTGCAGAATTAGATTTTACATAAGGGCAAAATGAACTGAGAACAGGAAGGTAGAGACAATGACTTACTAATGCAATTTTATCCACTTTTTATACTTAAATGCCTGAAGACAGAGAATGCCACAGTACGCTTGTCCACTTGTTATGTTATCATTGTGAACAGTGTTGGCTCATCTAATCCATGTTACCAAGACGATGATCTATTTGTTCTTCTATTGTCCTATAAGTTATGTATCACTCTTTGCTTACAGGCTATGGAGCTAGTCATTGACAGATGAGTGATTTGTCCATTGGCATCTCTGTTAAAGTTGTTTCATTTCCCCCCCCCCCCCCCCTACACAATAATGCTTCCAGCTATGATGGGGATTTCAGCTGATGGTGGTCAGAGCCAGCCGACAAAAGCTCAATCCCAACCGTTATTTCTATGCAAATGGCAGTCTAGAAGGTAGTCATCACCCATGTATGCTATACTGATTATTTTCTACATCCTTAACAACACGGGCAACTTTTTCCTTCTGTATCATAATTCACTGCTTTTAATCTCAGGCAGAAAACTATCATTTGCATGATGTTACATTGCTAAGCAATACCAAAACACAGAAGGCCCAATTCACCACCGCCTTTGTGCCACCTTCGCAAACCACTTGTGAAACATGTTAAACTCATTTTTGAGATGGCACAAAGGATTGAAACAAAAGGCAATCATCCCAATGGAACTGCCAAATTGCTTTGGCTCACCCAATGTAACATCCTTTATAACTTTCTATATGACCAGCTTCCCTGCACTTATGAAACTAATGAAGATACGCAATGGGGATAGTCCAACAGCCCAACAATACTAGTTATGTGTTACAAGAGTTCTGTACAAAGTTAAAAGAAACTTGTTTTTGTGCAGCTTCCATTTCACAGCATTTAAAGCACAAGAGCAGGATGAATTATGTTCTTTGTAGTTCTTGTGGGCATTTAAATCTCAATGCCAGGTGTGTATCCCTTTTCCTAATTAGGTTTAAACCAATCAGCTTGTATGAAAGGAAGTACAAAAACTAGCTTGGAAAAGCGATTCCTAACTTTGACTCTTGCTTCTATCATTTCAAACTCAGTGTTGGACAAAATTGCTCCAAGTGTACGGGGCAAAAGGTGCTGCAAAGATCAAAAGATTCTTTTGAATCTTATATTCTAGTAATTGCAGTACTGGAAAGAAAAATGAGAGAACTTTGCCCAATGAATAAGTGGTGCTCCTGGAAAGATTTAAGAAGTAAGAAATCAGCCTTGACAGAATTCTCCCAAAGAATAGCTATGGTATATTATACTATATTGTACTGATATATTAAAGGATGCAATGGATCAGTGGCTAAGAAGCTGAGCTTGTCGATCAAAAGGTCAGCAGTTCAGCAGTTTGAATCCCTAGTGCCACGTAACGGGATGAGCCCGTTACTTGTCCCAGCTTCTGCCAACCTAGCAGTTTGAAAACACGTAAAAAATGCAAGTAGAAAAATAGGGACCACCTTTGGTGGGAAGGTAACAGCATTCTGTGCGCCTTTGGCGTTTAGTCATGCCGGCCACATGACCACGGAGACATCTTCAGACAGTGCTGGCTCTTGGCTTTGAAATGGAGATGAGCACCGCCCCCTAGAGTCAGGAATGACTAGCACATATGTGCGAAGGGAACCTTTACCTTTACTTACTGATATATTAGGTAAGTCTCCCTTCTGCCCCTCCGCCCCCGCAATAATTTATTTTTAAACTAGAAACCTTGACTTACATTAAGAATGTTTTAACGTAAGCTTGTGAAAAACATTGGAGATGGTTTCACAATTAAAAATGTGTAGGTTTGGTAAATACACTGTACTAGTTGAAGATCCAAATGGAAATAGGTGAGGAACAAGATGTGTGTGCATACCCTCCTACTACATTTAAGATACTAGAGTAAAACAGTTGCCCTGAAAAGTTAACAGATGGCCTTTGACATGACTTGCCGGCAGATAGTTTAGGGAACAATGCAATGCTGGAAGCATACAGTAGCACACTTGCCATTCTTTTCACCAAACTGTTCTATCTTACCTCGAAACCAAGAATGCAATCTCATTTCCACTGTAATCCTTCTTTTAGGGACAAGCGTGGCAATACAGTACTACAGTACATATCTCTGAGCTTCAAACAAGATGTGGCAGTTACAAAAAATTATGAGTTGTGTTTCCCTGTATCCACTATTTGTCTTTCCTGGAAATCATCAAAATTCATTCTGGCCACCAAATATTCCCAGAAAAAATCTTCCATAGGTTGCCTAAAGGTTCTTCAAAGTAATTCATGAAGAAAATAAACAGGTAGGGTGAAATGATGACCTTAGAAAGAACTTTGGAGAGATAAGCTATAAGTCATATTTATCATCAATAAATCAGCCAGAAATGAACCCAAAGATATATTTTGGATTAAAGAACCCAAATCAGGTATTTTAGGGTCTGCGCTAATTGCATTTATGTCCCATGGACATATGGTAGACCTTCATGTAAAGTGTCTCCTGCCCACCCACCACCCCACCATTGTCAGGGGTTTGTGGTCTGATAATACATGGCTGTTTGAATTAGACGAAAACGTTTGTATTATTTCAGTTCCTGTGTAAAGGTGTGTGTAATATATTCATGGTAATAAATAACATGCTCCAGCATTACATTATGGTGTCTTTCTGCATTTCTTTCTATAGCTTTACAACATCTACCAAAATTGTGCATTTACCCTGTTTCCCCAAAAATAAGACCTAACCAGAAAATAAGTCCTAGCATGATTTTTTTTCAGGATGCTCGTAATATAAGCCCTAACCCTAAAATAAGTCCGTTAAGATTGTCAGCCAGATGGATGCATTTAGTACCGTGTTTTCCCAAAAATAAGACAGGGTCTTATATTGATTTTTTTCTCCAAAAGACTCATTAGGGCTTATTTTCTGGTTAGGTCTTATTTTTGGGGAAATACGGTACTTTATAAAAATCAATCATCTAATATTGGTGAATAAAGGAAACCCTAAAGCGATTGGAACACTTTTATTTTTTTTTATTAAAGCTAACTGAGTTGAAAACTCACATGCTTGCTGTCTTTTCGAAAACATGATTAGCACACGCGAGCCCTATGTATAAATCAATATATATCATAAACTGGCCTAAGGCACAATATTTAGTTTGCAATGCCTTCCCAGTACTGCTCTCATTCCAATAATTCCTCACTGATAAGAAATGCTACGTATTTGCTTTGTAGTTGAATATAATGGAATTACCAGTGCAGATTGTAAATACAACTGAAAATAATTTTGCAATATGCTATGCAGAGGTTGCCAACAAGGGTGATGTATATGTATTTCCTTTCTTCTTTCCTATAACACATTTCACGTTTGCTGCATTGCCTCAGTGGTGTTCTATATTTTACAGTGCTCCTACCATTGATCGCTGCTATTTTGGGATTTTGACATTGTGTTCCGAACGACATGACAATGCATTAAATTCAACAGAGGAAGTTCCTCTTTCCTACTGTGCTATTTTCCCAGGGGAGGTTTATACTTTTTTCTTTAGTTGGGGCAAAAGCAAATGGTAAGGACTATTTTCTGCCACCCATTTTCTCCCATCTTCCTATTTTCTCTGAGTTGCAGGAGGACCATTTACTTTCTCCAGTTAAATCTGCTGGAGATAGCATTTGAAATCAAGACAACTATAATCTGTCTTTCTCCACAAAAGCCACTGGGGGAGGGCAGGGTAGGAATAGAAAAATGAGATAGAGCGCACATCCCATGCTAAGTAATTTATGTTAATTAAATGGTTGAAAAAATTATATTAAGACCACAACTGTCTTAAGCAGGAGAGCTATTTGAAAACAAAAAGGCAAAATTCAGAAGTTGGATTCCTACACAGAACAGCAATTACACGCAACTTGTTTAAACAGAACATTTATTAGAACAGGCAAGACAAAATTAACATTATTTAAATTTCAAGGAACAAATTAATGCTGTTTACCTATTTACAAATTGATCTCTAAAGTAAAACAAAAAACAAAAAACCTCACTCTCCAAAGGGAGACATTTACAGCATCCCTCAACAGGTTTGTTATTGAAGCAGAGGCCTTGCTCTAAATGAAGTTTCACATATATAAAGTAAAAAACAAAACTTTGTATTTGAAGGAAGGGAGAAGCCAAAATCCAAACAAACCCAGAAGCTCCAGTGGAGAGGCAGAAACATCAAGGTTTAAGTAACTATATCTTGAACCCATTATATATTCTGAGAAAATCATTAGAAAAATAGAAGAAAAACTTATATACATTTTACTCAGTAAAAATATGGACAAATTATTTCATGGCTTCTTGATTATCAAAAGGTGGGTATTCCCAAAGAAACCACCATATTCTCCAACAGATTGTAACATACAACTCCAAAGAGTGCCACACTGATTCTTTGTACCCCTGGGAGTAGAAGTACATTGAAAGGCACAACAGAAAGAGAGGAACCCAGTCATTTTATCACTCACCGCCCTTCCAGCATTTGCAAAACAAAGCATGAGTGTGATCTGGTTAACATCCCTCACCGTCTAGAAACTTAATAAACTTGATAGGATTTTTCTTAGGATATGTGCCAAGAAGAATGAGAAAATATACCCTGAGGAATTCTAGGTTTGATTTTTTTTTTTTTAACAAAAAACCAGGCACAGTTTTCATAAGGTTTGGCCTCTGCTTCAGAAATAAGGAGCGTTACAGGATGTAATTATTCCTTATCATGAGTCTCTGTAACAATCAGAATTGTGTGAAACATTTGGAAGAGGTAATTTACAAAGTACATTACTATTGCAAAGAGAGAGAGAGAGAGACAGCCCTCTTCAAGGCTACCAGCTGGTTATCTGTACATGGATATACATTCACAACTTTCAGATGGTCCTTCTGTGTCATCTCTACACACAAATGTAGATGAGTAGAGACAGCCTTCAAAACACTCACACAAGCCTGCCGAAGGCTATGGCTGTGTTAATACTTTAAAGAAAGGTTGTCTGCGAATTACCTCCCTCAAATGCCTTGCACAAACGTATTACCAAATATTAACCATTTTTGCAATGAGAAACTAACCACTATGAATTTATTATCAGAGAGTTAAAACATGCTTTCCCAACCTGGTGCCCACTGGCCGTATTATTTTAGTCCAATACATATAATAAAGGGCAGCAGACTGTGGAACACTGCAATAAGAGGTTGGGGTGGAAAAAACCTACTCATATTTCCATGTTAAGTTTTTCTAAAGCTCTCACACTTCTTTCAGTCTCAGAAGAAGGCACCAATGATATAATTTCAGTAGTATACAAAATTTAAATGCGTAGCACTATCCTATGTACAATTTCTCAGAAGCAAGTTTCCTGTTTTCAATAGTGCATTCAACATTCTTTCTTAAGAAGGTGTTTTTAGGAACACAGTCACAATCAACTAAAAAGTTCTAATTACAGAACTTTGATAAACATCAATGGAACTTTACCGTATTCCCTTCCTCTCTGAAAAAAAACCCTCTACAACATGCAAATTTAACTCTACCACAGTCCAAGCTGCATGCATGAATTTGGAATTCAAACTTAGAATTCAAATTTAGAACCCCAACGTAGTATCTGTACAACACATGTCTAAATTTTGGTAAATGCAGAAGAGGTCCGTCACATAAGTTGAAAACTCCTTTTGTACAACTTAAGTAAGATTGTTTCATTTTGTTACCCTGTAAATACACCACATAGTAAAATAAGAGATACATACTGAAAGGCAACAGATTGCAATCGGCAATTAATTGAGACAGCATCATATATACAAAGCACTTTGACCTTGCCAAATATGGCATTCATCCAGGAAAGCAGGCTTTAATACACACATCCGTTATTAGAAATCTAGTACATCTGGATGACAAGAACAAACAGTACCTTCCACAACCACTTGCTCACGTTGTGCAGGCTCTGCATGTGTGTGCGTGTGCAGATATATGTGAACGATCAGAAAGTGACAAAAAGTGATGATGAGCTGTTTAACAGGAAAGCGAGTGATAATACAAAGTCTATGAATGCTTATATCTGAACATGGCTTCTGCTTAAACACCCTTGAAAGCATATTGATTCTACATTTAAGGCAAGCCATTTATAGTCTGCTTCCTCCTGTTGATAATTAGCTATTCACTAACTGATAAAAACATATTTAATAAAGTATTTCATTTTTTAAAAAAAATGGCTTAAAGAAAAGGAATTAAAAATCCTCACCTTATCAGACTATTCTATGATCCAGTGTTTGTAGCATGCTTCCATTAAGTACATGAGGATTAATAGAATTGATGAACATAAAAATAGAAACTTAAAAATTGTTGTTGCAAGTTTTTACTGACTAGGTTAACATTTTTACCGCTTGCTAAACACTGGTGAGACATCTCTCATTTATCAACGCACTGAGTAAAAGTAGATATGGAGATGAAAAGGTGACAATCGAACATAGAAGGCAGGAAAAAAAATGTACAAAATATACAAATTTAAATAAAATATTTTGAAGACAATTGTAAAATTTTAACAATTGAAAATATTAACAAAATAGATTGCATTTTAGTTCACAATATAAGACTTCAAATGCACAAGAGCAGAATATTTATATAAATGACATTGTAAGGGAATAGCCATGCGAGTCTATAGCAGCAAAAGAAAAAAGTCTGGCCGCACTTTTTCTAACACATCTGAAAGCTTCTACCTTTTAATAAAATTTGTTAATTGAAAAAAGTACTACCAGATTACTGATAACTGCCATTGATTTTGGAAGGAACTGATGAGCAAGCAATTTGTTGCGCGTGAAAAGCTGGCGTTGCAACTGAAATTAATTTGGGGATTAATTTGCATAAATCTGACTTAGTAAAATTGACTTTTACAGTAATGGTTTGATCAAGTAGAAATTGTCAACTTTGTTTTATGTTGCACATGTTTCTCCCCCACCACCCACCCAATGCATTAAGGAAGCACCACTTATTCCCAATTAGATATCCTCCAGGTATGGAGAATTAAAAACTTCAGAATACTATGCCTGTTTCGAAACATATTTGAAGGATATCTAATGATCGAAAGTCACTTTTTAAAAAACTTCTGTACACAGCGAGTTTGCAAATTTGGCTTTAGACTAATAAAAACCTAGTAAGATTTTAAAGCAGGCAATTCCTGAACGTAGCAGGGATTTCCTTAGATTCAAAACCACAATTATTGATAAGCCCTTCCCTTACAAAGAAAAACTGCACATTTTCTTTGAAGGAGCCATGTGTTTTGAGAAACACTATAGGATTCTATACAAAGCGTCCAGCAGCTATACAGAACAATCCTAATATTAAAATAATAAGTTATTCATATATTTACAAAGATGAGCTCAAATAAATGGCAGTCTTATTCTTCACTCTAGCAAACTTACAGCAGCAGCATTTAGGTTTTCAGCATTAGACCTCAAGCTTTTGCATGTTTCTCCATTGAGGTTTCAGAACTAGAAGCAAGGGGGGGGGGTCCCTGTTTGGGAGGGTTATATTTACCGGTCCAGGGTTCCTCCTTGCTCCCTATCTTAGTTTCTGAATACCACCATAAGCTATAAACATCTCCATAGAGACAAAAGCAGCTAGTCATAATGAGAATATCCCACAAGAAGTTCTTGGCAAGTCTTTCTCCTGGAAAACTTTTCCCCAGGCCTAACATCTCCTGTTGTTGAATCTCAAGTGAGAGGAAAAGCAAAACTCATTCAAGTCTTGGATATGTAACCACCTTACTCAGAACGATGTCTCTCATCCTGGTGTCATTTGGATGTGGCGGACTTCAGCTCCCAAAATTGCCTACACCATGGGAATTATGACAGTTGAAGGTGAGGCTTGAGAGGTCTTATCCCAGGAGACTGCTTTCGTTAATCTGTGATCTTTTCCACTAGTGATGTATGTATGAAAAACTTTTTTAAAAGTTCCTTCACGTGTGACAGAATTTCCTTCCAAAATCATTTCCTTAAATGCCACATCTGAAACGGAGCAGCTTTTTACTGCATGCATGTATTTATCATACAGAACCAAACATGAAACCCAGTGTTTAAGGCTTTTTCTAATACTATTTTCCCTAGTATAGGTAGCCCTTAACTTACAACCATTCATTTAACGACTGTTCAAATTCATGGCACTGAAAAAAGTAATTTATGACTTGTCCTCGAGGTCACAACTGTTGCCCAGTCATGTGATCATGATTTGAGCGCTTGAAGACAGTTGCAGCGTTCTGTGGTCACATAATCACAATTTCCAACCTTCCCAACCAGCTTCTGACAAGTGAAGTATAGGAGAGGACGAATTTGCTTAATGACTGAATAATTCATTTAACAAACAGGTAAAAATGGTTATAAAATCAGATCCGTTCACATGCTGACTTTTTTTTAATGATCGCATCCCTTGGTGGCTGAAATTCCAGTCCCAATTGTGGTCATTAAGTCAAGGTCTACCTATAAATTTAAAAATGAATTAGACTAAACACTGCAATTCAACCATACTAAAATATAATGTACGGAATTACTGTCCTTTGGAAATGCAATTGCCAAATTGAGAATTACATTGTTCTTCAGACTGTTTTCAGTTTCATCAACTGCCCACACACAGTATGGATTTATCTACTTAAGAAGAACAAAAGTGGAAAAAAATAAGTCACTTCCAAAAATTACCTAGGGACCCTTCTCAAATTGAATTTTAATGACTAAATAATTTGACTTTTATAGAAAATCTGACAGCATCTTTCTAGGCCATTTTCAAAGACAGTGATGTATTAGGGGAGGCATGTTCAGCCTGTGGCCCACAGCCCGCATGTGGCCCTAGACAGCTAGTAATGCGACCCCACAAAATCCTGAACCTTTAACATTATTATGGGATTTGTATATATTAACTATATTATATATTTTATACGCAGCCCAAGGCAAATTATCTTCACTCAATGCGGCCCTGGCAAGCCAAAAGGTTGGACGTCCATGTAATAGGGTGTAATTTAATAGTAAGTAAAAGGCTGAAATCGGCATGGATGATATGAAATGTGACCATACAGAAGAGATTTCTGCAAAAGACTTTTGTCATGTATGAAACAATCCACAAAGGTTGATTCAGGTAAGAATGAAAAGTTCAAAACAAGCGCCATCTCACTCCTCACAGACTCTAAAAGAAGGATTCATATGACCTGATGGGATCCATCCAAAAGAACCCAAAAGCAAAGTTTTAGGTATTTTCAAGTCACATATACATTTTCATCTAAAAGGAACATTTTCTAGCCAGCCCTGAGGGCTTCCCAAATCACCTTGAGCATCCTGGCCAATTTACTTGAGGAAGGTCTGGCTGATTCAAACTAAATTGTGCATTTCTCAATTGTTCAACGCTGAAGCCCTTTAAAAAGAACATCCTCATCATTGTAATTGTAGCCTTCACAGACTTTTGTGATGTCAAAAGGAAGTTGCTGAAGTATCAAATACAATAAACTGCTTTGTTATTGGTCCAGCTGGGTCAACATTGTCTGCAGAAGCTCTGTCTAACCTTCCGGACAGGTAGATGTAACCACTAAATTCTCAGCAATCACCATGGTGATGGGAAAACCTTGAGTCAAAATTCACATCTAATAACATTATCACTAGGGTACAACCTGGACAAAACATAGGGAGTGCCATAAATAAATAACCCCCCTTCTAAATTTCCTCACACAAAATAAGCAGAGTCTCTCTACAAAATGATTTCCCTTTCTTCTAAGTGCTATTCTTTTCCATATAACTTGCTCAAATACAACACATCAAGGGGCTAGACATAAATACCACGAACAAGTAATAATAAATTCAAGCCTCTGAGGTTAACAGTGTAAAAGGAAAAAGTACAATAATAATCTACACTATTTACTACAATATCAAAACAGCAAGCATCAATATTATTTGACCGGTGTACAGACTTTTACCCTCCCTTTGGAAAAAACACATTTTAGAAGGAGGTGATTCTCCCACTGCATAGATGGTTTTATGATTTCCCATCCCATCCATGCCTAACAGAGGAAATAACACGGTTTGAATTTTAAATCTGATGGCCTATTTGGAAACGTCAACGCTAACAGGATAAGGTGAGAAATTTATATTCTACAGTCCCAAATATTCCCCAGGCAAAACCTAAGGCTGGTTCCTACTCTGTACCCGAAAAGCTGTATTTGTCAGAACCCTTCTTCAATAAAATATTAATTTTAAATATATTATTTCAAACATAACAGTAAAGACAATGCTGGACTTTGACCCAAGAACCCTGTGTTCAATTTCATCTTTGAGGGGTCCTTGGTGCTCTCTGAGCTTGTTTCCTTGTGGACGTTTCATTACCCAAACTAGGCAACACAGACTGGACTAGCACTAGTGATGTTACCTAGTTTGGGTAATGAAAGAAAACAAGCAGGTTCAGAGAGCACCAAGGACCCCTCGTGTCAACCCTGAGCTACAAATATTCTCCTTTATTAATTCCATCTTTATTACAGGAAACTGTTGCCTTTTCTCAGCCACAGGGCGTATTGATGAGTTACCGCACAATATTATGTTGAAATACAAGCATGGGAAAGGCTGCCTTTGACCGGGACTGTCTGAGCTGAAATGTGAATAATATCCCAAGCAAGCAATTGCCTTTGATTTGGCAGATCTGCATACCTCAAAGTCATACTTTCTACACAGCAGTTCTATCATAAGCAACAGACTCTGTTTCATATCTACACAGCTGTTTGAAGCACAGGAGAGGAATTCAGCTAGCAGGTTGCACAGAAGCCTCCGAGGGCTGCAGGAAGCCTGGTTTGTCCGCTTTTGCTAAAGGAGATTGCTGTAACATTGGATGCTAAAACTCAGGCATCACCTCTCTTTAAATATGTAAAGCACAATGTTTAAATAGCACCACTCCTTTTTTTTTTCCATTCCAGTCTTGGGAAGTGGGTACAGTTTATAAACATGTAAGAGAGTTTATGTATGGTTTGGTTTGAGTTTGCTTAAGTTTAGTTCTGGTGCTGCAATATAGATGATTTTGGAGAAATAGTATAAAGTGTGTTCCATTCCAGTAACCAGGAATTAATTCGCAAGCTTGAGAATCTTATTCTCACAGTAACATTGGAAGTAAACTGGCACCCTGAAAGGCAATTTCTATTCAAAGGGTAAAGAAGAGAAATAGCTGTCAGCAAGAAGTAACAGTGTTGTTGGGAGTGCATCAGAGGCTAGGTATTTTTTTTTCCCTTGTGATCCCTCCCAGCTGCATCCCCATGTTAAAGGGACATGAGAACCTGCCTGATATTCTACCAAAAAAAAAAAGTTCTTTCAGAATTTGGGAGAGAAAAGTATCCCGCTGTGCAGTAATAGTGATCTTAATAACCTCCTGAGCAAGAAGGCTGTCATTTACAAGTATCCATATTGTTATCCGTACTTCTTTCTTGATCCGTTGGTGCTGAATAAGATGCCTCTACACTGTGCCATATGCCATAGCCAAAATATATCACCAGGCCTAGAGAAAAGAGGAAAGCGGATTAGCATTAGGAAACGTGAGGCAGCGCACAGGATGTATCAGTTTAGGAATCTCTAGCTATAAGGAATACAATAGAAAATGAGGCCCACATGTGCTTACATTTGGCTCGTGGGGCCGACCTGGAAATAGCAAAGGATGAACTTGCAGTGACTCTGCTAGTGAAAATGGGGCACAGGGGGCCCACGCACGGCCCACCTGTTTTCGGCCTGGACGGCCCCCTGTAGCATCCTGCCGGCCAAAATGGGGTACAGGGGGGCTGCATGCAATTCCTCTGTGCCCTGTTGTGACCAGCAGGGTGCTGCAGGATGTGTTCACCCCATCTGCTGTCCGTCCCATCTCCCCCATCCCTAGCTGGCCTGCGGAGGACAACTACAACGCTGATCCGGTCCTCAAAAAAATCCAGTTTGACACCCCTGGTCTTGTGGAGCATGCAAGGACTTAAGTATATATTTCTAAAGCACAGTGCAGTATGGCTAAGGGGGACTGATGAGTTTTTCTAGTGACTAGTCTATTTTTCAGAGTGTTTTCGACCAAAAAAATAGGGAACTCTATTTTAATTCTGCATAGATCAGATCTTGCTATATTTCTCACTTGCTTTCAATATTTACAAGCTTAATTGTCATAACATACCTTGCATGGGCCTATTCCTGGAGATGATTTAAAAGATTTAATCAAAGTAATTGAAGTCTACTCCCAAGTCTTAATATATTTATTTATTATATTTCTATTTATTATATTTATTTAATATATGTGAATCTGGGTTTGTTTTGTTTTAGACAAATACTAAAACACAGTCAACGGTTTCATACCAGCTGCCTGGGTTGACATGCTTATTAAATTGCTTAGTATTAATCTTTTTTTAATGACTGGGACTCTCATACTATATGGAAGATAACTCAGTTGTAGCTTTAAGGCTTCTGACCACAAGAGTAAAGAATCTGATTTCTGCTTCAATCTTCAAAACTTTGTTGTATTCATTAATCTACCTATATGAATGAGAATGTCATCGTATCAGACAGTTGAAATTTACCTATGACCATCCAAATGGCAAATCGTATCCAGGTGCCGCAATCCAGCTGCATCATGAGATAAACATTTACAAAGATGCTCAGGATTGGAAGGACAGGGAGAAAAGGAACCTGCAAAACAAAATTATGCTTCTGGATTACATTTAGGAGTATGGGATACACCAGTTCACATATCTACCTTCTCCTGAGATCAATAATTTGATTCTATTTGTAAGGAATTGTTTTCTCACATCAGTATTAGCAATCATATAATATTGTGAATGTACGCAAGGCAGCAAATTCTTGCAGGTTCTTCTGAGTATAGCTCTAATTGGATAAGTCAATTAGATGCTGCAAGAATTCTCTGGAATAAGAAAATATTGACAATAGATTTTAAAATATGTCATGCTTACTGGCTTTCATCTAGGTCAGGGGTGTCAAACTCACATCATCATGTGATGTATCGTGACTTTTTTTCCCTTCACTAAACCAGGCATGGGTGTGGCCAGTGCGTGACACATCCAGCCCCCAGGCCGCGAGTTTGACAGCCCTGATTTAGGTGTTTAAAATTATAGTCAGATAACATTGGAGACGCAAATCTACAAGTGTAGATTTGTACATATACAGAAGTTTTGTCACTGCAACATTTTAGACACATATTTTTTTAAAAATAAATCCTTCCTATTCTATACAGTATGATCACATTTCAGAAATGGTGTTTTAGGGATATTCTTGATAGTGGTTCAATGTGGCAAAAGAGGAAGGTACCTAGACAAATTGTATGGAAACAACAGAAACTTTCCTTTGTTATCATACAATGAAGTGAGTCAGGATCTTCCTCGGGAGATTTAGCATGACAGCATATTTTGTTAGGATTGAAAATCTATTATGGTAATATGATAAAGAGTTTCCATGATAAGGTTGACTTTAAATATTGTCACTGAATGTTATCCTGTTGTGCGCACATTTTCTGATATTTATGTTGTAATAGTAATTCTACAGAAGCTACTCCTACCACATTCCTTTCAATGTGTACTGTATTCACCACTGTGTGCCTGCTTACACTCTTGTAATCCCTTGCTCTCCAATGAATGTAAATACAAACACTAATTCCTTTCTTGCTAATTATCCCAGGGTTGGAATGAGCATTTGAAAGGGGGGGGGGGGGGAATGGGAGAAATGAAAGCACAGTCACGCTCATATGATTTCCCCCTTAGCAATCAGTTCTCTTAATGACAGCTGTCAGTCCCAATTGTGGTCTCTAAGTGAGGGCTACCTTAACTTACATTTGCAACTCTCAATTTATTAGAATGAGTTGACACATAGAAACAGAACTATATAATGCCTATACTCCAACACAGATGTTATAATACCTAATTAAGGCTTGCATATCATAAAGGCATGCTGAACTCAAAGCCCCTTTTTACCATGAGTTTGTGCATACAATGTAAACATTTGGAGATACACACAATTTCTGCTATGCCAGGTGGGGAATGTGCACCCACGAGTTATTGCATAACTACAACGCTCAGCAAACCCAGTTCTCAGATTTTCATACTGAATGCTGCAAGTTGCAACTTCTGAAAAGTCACCAACCGCTTACTCAACTTTAACAATTGGCATGCCTTCCTTCCTCTACATATGTATATATTTACTCGCTCATTTACTCATTCTATCAAAAGAATTCAGACTTCACTTCTAGAGGCTGCCCCATAATGTAATGAGTTGGTTTGTTGGTAAGATTTTGTTAGGACACCAAAACAAACGCAGTAGCCTTGCATGCCACCGATTATCTCCCAGTACATTCAAATAGAACAGATGAGAACCGTCCTTCCCACAAAAATAGCATCCAGAAAGCTGAAGGTCATGTCTGAAGGTCGTATGTTCAATCTGCGTGGGAAAGTGTCTTTTGCTATGTCCCCTCACTGCTGCTTTTCTGGCAAAAGCAGGCTGGCCTCCACTAATCTCTCTTTCCAATCAGAAAGCCAGCAAGGGCTCCAGTTCTTCTTTTATGCATGTATGTTTTACACTTCACTTGCCTTAAATGAGAGTTTGGTTTTGCTTTCAGGTTGCCTCCAAATGATGACCGTGAAAACAAAGCAGATGAGGAAGATGACAACAAGTATGCTAATGGCCCACATTGCTCCACTCATCAGAACCTTCTTGGCAAGGACAGCCAAGCAACAGAAGCTGACAATAAGAAAACCTGTGAACAAGAAACATTAAGATGTTGGATGCATTGTTAAACCGGGGGGGGGGGGGGGGGGGGGGGGGAGAAAAAAAAAAAAAAAAGATTTTTTGTGGGGAGAAGAAAAAAAATATTGTTGTTAATTGTGGGGTGTGACCACGCAGAACCCCTGCTGCCATCACCTC